AATCTGTTAGACTTACAACCTGGAACACAGCAGTACGACATTATTACAGCATTTAAACATTCAATGTCCTCCATGTGAATATGGTCAGTTTTCAAAGATATTTCTTTAGTCACAATATTTACATATATACAGTATATACATATGTAGCAAACCACTATGATTGTATTAGATATTTTTTTTACGTCTTTAGACTTAAAACAAGCATCAAGGGTTTTGTACAGTAATTTGACAAAACCATTGAATATACAGGAAAGGACCCGTTACTTTGGTCTGCACTCTCCATATAATATCTCTTTATTTCAGTGTAAAAAAAAAGAGAGGAAAAGGTGGACCTCAGCACCCCAGAAGAAGAGTAAAGTTTTTATTACAAGATAAAAATATCCATAAATGAATCTATGGTTTATGGTTTATTTACGTGAGGGCTGAGGAGCATCAGCTCCAACAGATGTCTGTTAGTAGTGAAAAATTGTTTATACTAAATAATACCTCTTTGTGCTTCTTACAACTGTATTTAGACCGTTTCAACCCAGTTCTGCCCCGTTTGGTCCTGTTCAGCCCTTTTTTATAGAAACCAGGCTGAAGAGTTTACAGCAGAGGAATGTTTGAGGGCTGAGCTGTGGTTCCAATCTGTTCTCCACCCAAAAACACATGAGGCTGACTGCTTCTCAAGTTTTATTTCATTAAGCATCATACATTTATTTTTAACCACAGTTGACTGTGTGCCATCTCTCTCACATATTTCACACTCTTGTTTATTTTCTTGGGCTTCTTATGAAACTTTGTTACCCTGGGAGATTTGTCTTTATAAGAAAAAAATACTTATTTTGTTTTTTATTTGGAGGACTCCTGGTGAGATACATTTCCATGTCTATGATGGAATAAGTTCAAATCCTAAATGTGAATTAGTCAGAAACCTCTCAGACCATATGAGGATTTTGTTTCTTTTTTTAAAGTTTATTTTATTGGCTTTTCATGTCGTTTATTTTGGAGGAAAGGATAGAAATGGTAGGACATTGGGAGGAGAGAGTGGGGAATAACACTTGTAAAAGGGGTGAGGATGACGAAGGCGAACCCGGCCACTCGCTTTGTGGGCTACAGTCTCCCTTCATGGGCACCCAACCCAACTACTAGGCCGACAAGTGCACCTTCATTTGTACATTGCAAATGAAGTCTCTGAAAGCTACCACCAAAAATATCAACAAAACGCATACAGTGTGCTAGGTATGCAGATATTTGGCTGCACATAATTTAGTAGCCAACACTTACCATTTCCACAGCCTTGTTATTTTCTACTGATGTGATAGCAGAATCTATATCAGCAGCATTCATCTTTATTTTCACAAATATGATGCAAACATGAGCCCCTTATGAGATAAATGGCTGTGATTGGCCCAACCCATATACATCTTGACAGAAGCTGTTTGAACAGAGGAAACAGACAAAAGAACAAATTACATTTAGCTTAGGCTATACATGAGTTAGATTTGGTATGACATCCAACTTATGTATTTATCTCATTCCCAAAGAGAGAAAAAAAACGACAAATATAATTTACTACACAATTTATTACAACAGTTAAAATACTCCGAGCATACCCTTGTTTTAATGGCTGCCATATGTTTATTGTTGTTGTTGAACTACATTGGTTTCCAGCTGTAAACTCATCTCATGTTAAATTGTCTCAGTAACTAAAAAAACATAAATCACTAATATTATGTGGTGATGAAGTTAGTTGATTTTTAAACAGTCTCAGCTGTAACAGAAGCTAAAATGTGAACATATTGGTTCTATAGATTTGTAGAAACGTTTCCTCTTTATTGATAGCTGTCATGCATTTAAACATTCAATTGATTTATATGATAGATATTTAAAAGTATTTGAAGTATCTTAATCATTTGAGCAAATAAATATCATCTGAATGATTCCCTGGTATGTATGAATAATTATCTATGACGAATGGTTGTACAGTGTGTGTATCAGTCAGACCTTCTCGATAATGAACATGTTGATTCCGAACATTATGAGTCTCTGTAAATCTGCAGTGTGTGTTGTGGCAGGCTGCGGTGAGCTGACTAGTATTGATCCACACATGTCCTCCTGTGTTTCTAATGTGATCAATACCCTGATCAATACAGCAACACGCGCGCGCACACACACACACGCACACAAACACACACGCACATCACATCTTCAGCTTGACTGCTCACTGCGGTTCACAGGTTTAACCCCCGAGTGTCTTTATTTCAACAAAACTTATAATCCAGTGCTTTTCTAATATTCCCTTCACTTTATTATTCAAATAACTGAATTGTTAGGATCTCATTGTTATTTTTAAAGTTAAGTAAAGTTTGCCTTAATTAAAAATGTATGTATGAATACACATTCAATGATACCTTTGTTTAGTTTGTTGACATGGGTAGTTTAGGCACAGAAACCACCATCCTAACCACACACCAGCCCAGAAATGTCCAGAGTCAACCAAAACAGAATGAAACATAAAAAAAGGCATGGCATCTGCATGACACAGATACCACCACACATGTATAGAGGCCCACAAGTGATGGTTGAGCAACATTACTTTTGTAATCGTCTTTATTTTATTTTTTAAGAAAATGCTACTGATTTT